ATAAAAATAAATAAGGGTAAAAAAAAACTAATGATGTAATGTATGGTGACTAACATAACATAATGAAATAAAATTTAAAAAAAAAAGTTAGCATTTTGGCCAGGACAACTGATCATTCCTATGCTGAAAAGTCCTGTACCTTCAAATACATTTAGCATCTTCGGCCCTCAGGCACTGAATACCAGGAGCAGCTTGACTGTCACTCTGAAAATTAAAATGTTCTTCCGTATGTACAAACTGTCTATAGAGGTGCTACTCTCTAGACCCCAACTGTTAAGGAAAATATTGCATTTCAGAAACTTAGGGCTAAAAAGAATTTTAAAGAGTTCCACAAGTTTAGTTGTTTTTGTTGTTGTTTTGTGTTGTTTTCATTTTTGTTTTTTTAGAGAGAGAGAGAGAGAGCCAGCGAGCTGGAGGGGCAGAGGGAGAGAGAATCTTAAAGCAAGCTCAGCGTGGAGCCCAAAGCAGGGCTCAATCTCACGACTCTGAGATCATGACCTGAGCCTGAACTAAAAGTCAGGAGCTTAACTGACTGAGCCACCAAGGTGCCCCTACTAATTTAGTTTTTGTAGTTAATTTGTACAGAAAAGAATAGTGATAAAGAAACCAAGAGAATGCTAAGCTTGGTTTTTCTACTTGTCGACTTTGAAGGAATTCTCCAAAAAAAGCACCTACTATGTACTGGAAAATGCATTAGACATTTTCATCCCTACATGTAAATAAATGCATTGTGTGTGTTTGTACATATTTGAAAGAAAAAGAGAATTATTATTTTACTCATATTGTCCTTGAGGAAAATAATGTTTAGAGCACTTCATCTGCTGAGCAAGAATTCTATTTAGGCTTCTTTCCACCATAATACAGCTACACTGTGGATAACCAGTGAAGTCGTCCCATCGGCAATTGGAAATGGAATTTGGGGACATGGTGAAAAGAGACCCAACTGTAGTTATAGCCATAAAATTAGAAAGAAAAGAATGGGTATGTGGAAACCAGCTGCATTCAGTACATTTGAGGTGTGCCTTCTACATGAATATTGTGATAAATATTTGTAAATAAATGCTGCAAGGAAGGAAACAGAATAGGATAGGGAAAAAGGGATGGGAGACAGCTGGAATGGTGTACATCAAATGGAGAGAGAGGGAGCAGTCTTGGCAGGTGCTGGAGAAGTGAGGGGACAGCTGGTCATCAATGCTGAAAGCTAGCCAGGGGTGACAGTGATTGAGGGTTGGAGAAAACCTTTCAGAGTTTAAGAAAGCTTCTTGGAACTGAAAGCCAATAAATTAGAGACATCTCCAGGTTGTGACAGAGTTTTAAAAATTCAGCTTTAAAAGTTCCTTGGGAAAGCAATCTTTTATTTAGAAAGAAAGAGAGGGAGAAAGAGAAGGAGAGAAAGAGAGGGAGAAAGAGAAAGAGACGAAAGAGAAGAAAAAGAGAAAGAAGGAAAGAAAGAAAGAAAGAAAGAAAGAAAAAGAAAGAAAGAAAGAAAGAAAGAAAGAAAAAGAAAGAAAGAAAGAAAGAAAGACTTTAAAGTAGTTTGAACATAAAAACAAAGGACTAATAAGTCAACCCCGAAAGAAGTTGTCCACGATGGCATGCAGTATTTGAAAACAAGCTTCTAGAGAATTTATCAGAGTGTGAAAGAGTTATGCAAACTGATCCATTTTGGCTCAGAGCTGTCTCAAGTGTGTGATAGGGCTGGGAGCATTTTCTCTGAGACAGATGTGAGTTAACTTTTAGACACCCCTCCTCCTGGGGACAGAAAGCTTTATCACAGTCATGAGATTCCAGTAACATGGTAGGAAGTCTCCTACACACGCATTGTTAAATGGGCTGTACCTTTCCCTTAACAGGAAAAGATCTCTTGTTTTACAAAGACCAAGGCAGCCCTCTGACAGGAAGGGCTCCTTAGTGGTGAGCTCAGTGACTGCCGATCTTTTGTTCTTCAGTCTCCTGAGCTAGAGCAAAGGATGTGGCTGAGGTAGGAGGCGGGGACTATGCATGTGTGTGTGTGTGTGTGTGTGTGTTCTCATTTCCGCTTCCCCTTTCTGAGCTGGCAACAGCAGTTTAATGAGGACAGAGAGAAAGGTACAACATACAATATGATACTTTGTCACTGTCCTCACTCAGATCCCCATACCTGGGAAGGGCTTGGCCCCACTTTGCTAACCACTATGCCTCAAACTCTGCTCTCTACCCGTGGACAGGTGAGTATAATTTTCACCTTAATTTGAAGACTATACTGATTTGGGATGGTGCCGGGAGACAGGAGAAAACAGGCAGGAGAGAAATCAGGTTGCCAAGAAAAGGGAAAAATCAGGAGAAAATCTCCCACATCCCTGACTTCAATCCCTGACTGTGCCTCTCCGAACAAAAAGGACCCTTTACTTTTTTTTTTTTTCCTTCTTCCTATTACGGGAGAGGTACTCTATATAGAATCACAAAACATGGGTTCTTTTGATGGTGTGAATTACTGTTAAGGAATGTTTCACCTTTTTCATGTGGGAACTTCCTCTCTGTCTTGCTATGCTCCCTTGTGCTGTAACTTTGAAAGGTTCTCAAGGAGAAGTTTCTCACTTCACGGCAGATCCCATTCTAGTGCTCGTAACTGTGAACTAGTGGGAACACCTCGCCTAAATCAGTGCTGTTTTGTGTGGCTGTGACTACTCTCCTCCAAAGCTGCAGAAGAAAGCTGGCCAGGAGATAAGCTACAGCAAGATATGCTGGGAGTAGACACAAGGAAGAAGTCACACAATTGGACAGTGCCAGGCCAATTTAACTGGAAGGCTCAAGAGGGATAACCACCTGTGGGGATTGCTTCTCAGGCTGTACATCTCAGAGATGGCTATAGGGATACGGTGACCACTTAATGACTTACATCATCGCAGGTGGGGGAGCGTCTGTGCCCCTCCAACATCCCTTGTCTTAGCGGCAGCCGAGCTGAGCATGTCACCACCTATATGACCTTTGGGGAAGGTAGAGGAGGGGAAAGATCCTCCACACTGGGGTTTTCCCAGGCCCCTGCTGTGCTGCTGAGCTTTCCAGTGGGTGGAGAAGAGGCGGGTGTCTGACACAGAACAGCAACAAGATAAAAGAGCCCCCCAGAAATGGTTTGATAAGATCATGAAGATTTATAAGTACTAGTGACTCTATCACAAATGGCTGCCTGTCTGGGCAAGGGGACTTTTTAGACAGTATGTGGCAGGTGCTGAGGTTATCAGGTTGGAGACTGGAGGCTTTCAGCTTGTGTGTCCAAGCTGCAGATTAACAGTTGTTAGGCTTGAGTGATTGGAGCTAAAAACCTGGTGTGATTCTCCTGTAACAGGAAGCATTACTAGAAGGAGTATAGGCCGGGTTTATTATCTCTCTCTACTAGAATATTATCAGAGATAACAAGCAGATGATACAACAAGAGGGATTGAAGGACATCTAACAAAAGAGTTCTTATTCACGGGCACCCCGGGGAGTTTAGAAACTCTTCACAGCCCTACTAATACTGTTTCTCATAACTTCCCCTGGTCCCTGAAAGGGGGATGGAGCCCTGGGATTAAGCATCACATAGTGGCCCTGGGAATCAACACACTCATTTTTAGTTCAGGGTTTCCAGTAGAGAATGACTCGTATTCTAATGGAGTTTTGGAGAGGAAGTTTGGTCCCAGCTTAGATCATGACTCATGGGTCCACCCTGGGCTCCAGTAAGGGAAAAAGATGAGACACTTACGGCCACTTGATAACTCGCAACTCTTCTGCTTTCCACCTAAAGGACAAAACCAAAGTGGGTATTCCAGTACCCTACCCACACCCAAGCCCAATGCAGAAAGGCCTAAACCCAGACTCTGATAAGAAAGGGTGTAGACCATTGTGAAAGAAAAAGAGGGGAGAATTAAAATGAGCACCTGAGGGAAAGAGTTGCATTCCCATGCAAACAGGACTGAAGAATTGAAGACTTGGATTCACCGAACTAAGAAATCCACTCACCCTCACTCCTGTCTCCAGACCAAGCCATCTGCAAACCAGGGCAGGTAAACGGATGTTTCTTCATCCTGCTGTCTTTGTATCCCTTTCAGGTGAAAAAATTTAGTGTCTCCCAACACTGAGAGCACAGGATTACCCTTTTCCAAATGTATAACTTTAATGTTTCCCATGGAACTTTACGAGCCTTCCATAAAACTCATTCAAATGTGGAAGTGGGCATAGAGAAGAAAAGGATGGAGAGCAAAAGAGGTTTTAGATGGTCTTCTTTCAGTATTTACTCAGCTGAAATTATTTATGGGAGAAAGAGGGTAAGAGAGGAGGGTAAACTAGTTACATTCATTCATTGGAATTTTTCTTCATATTATTTATCAAATAACATCCCCCTTTTTCCCTGAAATAGACTGACCTGCTGCTTTAGACCATAGGAGGCTCAGAATGCTCAAATGCTATACTCAGGGGAATTTTCGTTCTGAAGGTCTTCTCAACTGCAGTGATATAGAAGAGAACTAGAAATTAGGAATGTATTTCCTGTCTGTGAAGGAATGTGAGAGCATATCACAGGTTGAGGGTGTGTGCTGAACAGGGTGCAGCCAACCTGGCTTGAGGTGGAGGTTGTCCTATCTACAGAGAAATGGCTGTCCTGGGATTTCCCACAGCCCTTTGCAATGGCAGTGATACGTGCCTATCTTGGCTGTAAATGCGGATAAGATGCAGAAGGTCTTATGGGCCCCATCATGGAAACTCTGCTTCCTTTTTCTCTCCTCCCACGCTTGTTTTCACTCTCAGTGCCAGTTTACATGCCCTGCTTGGGTGTAGGCACAATACAGACAGAAGAGAGTATCAGAGGTCTGTCTGATACGTGTTCCTGGGAGGAGGCCCAGAGTGGAAACCAGAGTGGCATGAGGAAGGCAGTGTGATTTAAGGAAAAAGCACAGACCTGGGGCTCAGATCTTGTGAGTTTCAGTCCCATTTACAACCTTAATAGTCTATGTGATTTCAGATAAACTTCCCCCTCTCTCTTCCTCTCCCCCTCTCTCTCTTTGCACTTTCTTTCCACCCCCACCCCTTTCTCTTTTTCAAAATGACTGACCAGGATTAGATGATCTCTCGGATCCCTCTTGGCATAAAGTAAGAAGGAAGGAACTACTTACAGTTTATGTTTTATCTCTGCTCAACAGCAGCGTCCCTCCTTCCGCATCTGGATTTTACATCCACTACTGTATCCTGCTGCTCACTCCTTCTTCCTTCTTATTCCTGAAAGTGTTCTGACTTTAGTGAATGGTTTAGACTGAGGGAAAATTAACAATAATAATTGCTATCATTTATTAAGCCCTTCCTTTATATTTCAGGGACTTAATATCCATTATCTGATATTAGCCCCCAGTAGCCCAACAAGTTGTGTTACTACCTGTTTTACATATGAAGAAACTTAGGTTTAGAGGGGAAAGGTGATTTTACCAAGGTACATATGCATTAAGTAGATAGAACTGTGATTCCAAACAAGGCTAACTCTGATCCCAAGGCCCTTGCTCTTCCTACAGTTTTCCTTCTCAAGAGTTGGCCCTCCTTACTGGACCCCTTAAAAATATCCCCATAAGACACCTGTAAGCAGAGCTGATATTTGGCAGGTACAAATTGGTAGACCCATAATGATGGTTAAAATATTTCCACACCAGTTTATGATAAGTATCAATTGCCCCCAGCTCACTGAGTGCCCATGAGCAACCCGACAATCCCAGCTCTTCCCACAAGGTTCCCCAGACAGGCACCAGAAACTCAATGCCATATACCTGTAGGACCCAGCTACAGGGCTGTGACTGCTGTCAACTCTGATTGGTCTGTGCTGCTCTATAACCATCCTTAAATGTTCTGAATGGCACAAAAATCTGGAAGCAATGTGGAATCCCAGGCAGACTTTTCCTCTCAACTAGAACCTAGTTGGACCCTTGCTGCTGAACTGCTCTGTGAGCCCGACAAAGGCAAAATTGCTTCACATAATCTAGTTGGGAGTTAGGAAGGAAAACTATGCTAATAACCAAACAAAGCAACACTTCCTTCACTAAGATTATCATAAAGCCAAGAGTAAATTAATTTTGGTTTATGCTGCCTCTTCTATACGAGGCTATAAAGTGGAGAATTTATGTAGCATGTGAAATGGAGAATTTACTGAAATAGTTTCTCCTTTCTTTTATCCCAAATTATATGTGCCACTGATACTTGGGTGGAGATATTAGGCTATTTTCTTGTTCTATAATTAATGGAAAGACCATACAACTAGAGTCAGACCAACCTGAGTTTAATTCTCAACATTATAAGATCCTAATTATATGAGCCTGGATAAGTCACATATGTCCCTGAGCTTCGCATAACAATAGTTAGCTCAAAGGTGATTGTCAGGATTAAGTGAAATAGTTTACAGGAAGGTTTTATGGATAAATATACAGTACTCTGTACATCCCAGTTGTTTTAGCACCTATCACTTTGACTGGCCAGTGTTAATATATGCAGAATCTCTGACTACATCCCTTAGAACACAGACTGGAGGTATATGGTGTACTCAATGCAGTAATAACGACAGACCCATAAAGGTTTGCTCCTGCTACTACACTTGCTGCTTCTGCTGATGATTTGTGTTAGAAGATACTCCTTTCCAAGCTCGTAACTCCTGAATCTTCTTTTGTCTAACTTCGATCCTGTCAGCTGAAATTTCTGCTTTGAACTATAACATCCTCAAAACAAAGAGAATTCCCTCCTGCTCTATTTGTTGTAGTCAGATTCCAGAACATTGGCCACATTGTGGGGAAATATTTAGGGAGTGAACCTCTAGAGATATGTAGGAAAGAGGAAAGGACAAAGGGCTGCAAATGAGAGCAGAAGGGAAAATAAGGCTTTTAAAGAGTGATTCAGGCAAATAGCAATAGAATCATTGTGGAGTTTTTTGGGTTGGGGGGTGGGCAGTTAGTAGGAAAAAATACCAGCAGCCTAGGACTTCCTTCCTCACAGGAGTTAGATTAAATATAATATCAAATACAATAGATTAAATACAATAAACCAGCATCACGAAAGATGGTTCTCAGATTCCAGAAGGAACTTCTGACCAAGGAGTGGAAACTTCGAATGGAAAACTCTGAAGAAATATTTTTTAAATTTAAAGGATTTGATAGTTTAAGCTTTATAAAATTCAGTGTGACCCCTATGTTTCATCAACAAAAGATCAGCGTGACTATGCCCCAAGCCTCTTTTCTCTTCACTACAAGGTATAAAAATACATATACATTAGGATTTGAGACCCTGTGGAGAGTCGGGAGCCCCTGTCCCACGACATGTACTAAATGAGGATAATTTTTCAGCACCGGCATGATTCTCGCTCCTCTGCAGGTACAGCATCTGCTGAGCCCCTCCTGCTGCAGGTACCCTGCTGGGTCCTGAGATGGGGCTCAGGGGAGGGGTTACAAGGAAGGGGGCATGGTGACCAGACGGGTGACAGCTTCCCTCTTGCCGCATGTGGTATGAGTATATGTGCTAGTTGTTAGAGGAGGGGAAGAGAAGAGATGACTTGGATAGGCCTTCAAAGTGTAGACAGAATTTGTCTGGATAGAGGGGGAGGTGGATGAAACTGCATAAAGTAAAGGAAAAGTAGCGGGAATGTTCAAACAGTGCTGGAGCTCAGTGAGCAATGCCTAACAGAATCACACTCCTTTGGGCTCCTTCTGGGCCTCCCCCATTCAAGACTCAACACTTTCCTGAGTCCGTGGAAGTTGGAAGTGCAGGCACCTCAGAAATCAGTGTCGCTGTGGAAGGGACTCTGCCAAATGGGAAGTAACACCGGAGGCCACGGGACCATTTCCTAATGCTTCTGGGGAAAACCATGCAAAAACATTTTCTTTTCCAGGTATTATCCATACAGATATTTCAAACTCAACTAGAATAAATTCAGATGCATTGGTATTGAAGGCAAATTTGTACAACATTGACTCCTGCCAATTCATTTTCAAGAGGATGAAACTGCTGCCCAAGGAGGAAACCTAACTGACTTGCCAGAGGTCAATGAATTGGACCAAAAGGTTAAAAGAATGCCCACATCTGGGGCACCTGGGTGGCTCAGTCGCTTGGGCGTTTGCCTTCAGGTCAGGGTCATGATCCGGAGTCCCAGGATCGAGCCCAGCGTTGGGCTCCCTTCTTGGCAGGGAGTCTGCTTTTCCCTGTGACACTCCCCCTCTTGTGCTCTCTCTCTCTCAAATAAATAAATTTTTTAAAAATCTTAAAAAAAAAAAAAGAACGCTCACATCTACCCTGATTCTTAGTCACTACTCTTTTTGCTGCTCCCAACTCTGTTGTACATATAGGTTTACGTGTTTGTATGACTCATCTGAAGGAACTATGTCCGGGCCCCCCTCTCTATTACAAGGAGCCCCAAGACCTTCAAAGGTGCCATCTGCATGCACCCATCTGCAATTCTTTTTAAAGCTGTCACCGCTGATGGGCTTACCTGATATCATTTGCCGCTTCCTCCAGATTCCCACAAAGAATACCCAGTTTCTTATCTCTCAGCAACATAGCTTCCTCCTGGGATCTCTAACCAGACAGTTCTATTCCTCCCTCCCTCATAATATCACTGTGTTCATCTTGTTCCCATATAACACCATGAACAGGTCTCTGTGGCAGAGATCAGGGGGAAATGAACTTGTTCAATTCCCTGGGCCCACGTCCAGTCTGCCACATTTGAGATTAGCTTAGATGTGCCTTGCATCTTTTCTTTGACTTCATGAAGAAGGTTTGCTAAGAGCTGGGCTTTGAAAAGTGCAATGTGTCAAAGGCTGAGGGACAGGAAGATGGAGAGGGAAAAGAACATGAGAAAAGCATAAGATTTAAAAGGAGATAAGCATTTTCAGGGGGCAAAGGGGAAATTAGCCTATATGCATGCAACGTATTTTCAAAGATGTAGGACGAATGTAGAATAGATTCGTATCACAGAGGATGTCGAAACCCAAGTAGAGGTCTCTATCTAGCATCTCAATTAGCGAGATTCTGGAACTGCACTAAGCATTATGGGGGTTCAGCTATAAAACGGCACATTAAAATACCAGAAGCATCAAATTTTAGGGCATAATGTCCCAGTTGAGAAACTGAGACCAGAGAAAGGGATCGAATTTTCCAAGGTTATACCACTAGCAAGTGGCAGAGTAAAGTGTGGGAGTCACATCTTCCTTCTTTCCGTCTTTCCTCCTTTCTTTCTTTCCTTCCTTCCTGCCCTCCTTCCTTTCTTCCTTCATTCCCCCTTTCATCTTCCCCCTTCCCTTCTTCCTTCCCTCCTTTCTTCCTGCCCTCCTGCCTTCCTTTTAAATTCCCCTCATTACCAAAAAAGTCCTTCTTTGTGAGCTGAAGAGTTCTTATGATTTAGATGAGGTCCATTTACTCTGGGAATTAAAGACAGTAGGCAAGTAGGCAAGTCAGCCTTTGACATTTTCTTTTCTGGACCAACTGACACCAACCTACTCAATATTTTGAAGGTGTAGAACTAGGTAAATAAACCTGACCAAGGCTTTTTAGATTTCCTAAGTTCTTTCTAGTGGCAGTTTCATCCTCTTTTATCACCTCGCAAGAGCTCTGACTGAAGAGCAAGTTTTCTCTGCGTCCCCCCTTTGTGGTTTCCCTGTGTCACAAGCTGAATTTATTCATTTAATTGCCCTTAAAAGGCCCAGGCAGTGGACAAAGAGCCAGGTGCTCAGGGTTAACAACCTCTCTCCTTGGAGAAGACTGGGCGGTGGGCTGGACCCGAAGTGAAAGAATTTAGATGTATCATTCTTCTCTGGATATGTTTTGTCTCTAGCAAGCAGAGGCATCCAAAAAATTTTATTGCCCTAGGAAGGCGCTTTAGGTTCAGGATGGTCCTTTCAAAAAACAGCTATTTTAGGGCCTCCATGGTTCCACGCCTCCCTAATGATTTTGTGTTGAAGTCTTTAAAGAATAGAAGTCTCTGGAAACTGGCACTCTTCTTATTTTTTTTCCTCTTGCTTTGCCTTACTGCAACAATTAAGAGCACAGCTATGAGGATGGAGCTGTTGACGGCAGCTCCGGGGAGCAGAGGGATGAGCCACTGAAGAGCACTGGTCGGGCTCCTCCGTGTCCACTGTAGCAGGCTGAGTGTGGCAGGCGAGGGAGAGGCAGGAGGATGGAGCATCAGCCAATGAATGTACATTAGCCTCAAGGCTTTTTAAGTCCTAGTCGGACAACTGAGATTTTCTTCCCCTCTTTCTTCCTCTTTGAATAAGTGGCTAGTGCCATCAGAACGTATCTTTTGGAAGAACACAGAGATGTTGAGCAGACAGTGTTAAATGAAATATGCATGGCATCAGTGAACTGAGGAGCTAACTCCTAGCTATGGAGAAACCCACGTTGACAAATTAAAAAGGAATGACCCTGAGGGTCATGACTGCTCATTGAGTAAGGCAAGGTCTCCCTGTTGTTTGTATTATGGGATTTTTTTTTTTTCCCAAGAGAAATCTTACGTGGACCCCTGATATATAAAACAGGAAACGAAACAAAACAAACAACAGACTCAGAATGACAGTAGTTGGAGTGACATCCTGGCTGTGGCACCTTGGAGAAGTTGTCTAAAATTTGAGATCTGGGAATTCTTCATGTATCTTTCGGAAGAACAAATAGAGTGAATTCTATCAATTGCCGATTTAAAGATATTCTAATTATAGTGGGAGAGTCTGAGAGACAACATTCTTAAGGATTAAAGAAAGCTGTTTTCTAAGGCAATATGCCAGTCGTTGTGAGAAGTAGCAATTCTTTAAGTTAGAAGAACTTTCTCAATGTCCCTTAAGTCATAAGATGTTTGAAGTTCCAAGATTTGCTGATTTGAAACACTTGCCCTGGTATATGTCAGAGCACTGGGGGGAAGGGGTGCAGGGGGAGGGGGAGACAGAGGAAGGGCTGGACAACCCCCCCCCTTCCTGAATGGGCAGAGGGGTCATGCTCCTTCATTCAGAGCTGGGAAGGTGTTGGGGCAGTCCTGGGGTAGTTTCTGAACAGAGGATGGGGGAGTGATCGCTGTATTTCAGCTCTCAGAGCAGCATTCCTGTGCCGGGAGACCCTGAAGTCCGAGCTGGGGCCATGGAGGGCTCTGTGCTGAGCCCCACATCCTGGGAGAAGCGGCGGGCCTGGCTCCGGCAGAGCCGCCACTGGCAGACCCAGGTCCTGGAGGAGGAGGCCGCGGCTGCCCTGCAAGATGTCTCAGGTCCTGAGCCTGCCAGCCTGGATGATGTCTTCCAGGAAGGTAAGAGGCAGTTAGGCAGCAGACAGCCTTGCACGTGGCCTCGTGCCGGGGGAAAGGTACCAGCAGCCACAGGTCTGCAGAGGGTCTGCAGCGGGTCCCTTGTTGAGGCTGGGCCTTCAGGGAGGCTCATTTTGATGGGTTCAATGCATTTAAAGGCAGAAGAGTAAAGTAATAAAAAATATAAATTACGGGAGAGAGAGAGATAGGCATAAGATGAGGAAAAATAAAGCACATTTTTGCATCATCCCAAGAAGCTGTCTATGAGGGCCTGAGGTCAGGGTTCTCTTGAATGCTTTGGGGTGTTTTTATTTTGTTTAGGCAACAAAGTGATGCTCAGTTTGGATGCCTGGACTCTGGCTGCAACTCTGCTGCTAGCAAGTGGTGTGACCTTTGGCAAGTCACTTACCCCATATTTGTCTAATGGAAGTGGTGGTACCTGAAGTCGTAGTAGTACTTTTCCTCCATGCCTCTCAGAGTTTCTTTGAGGTTCGAATGAGACTACAAACATAAAAGTTAAAGAAAACAAAAACAAAGCAAAAACAAAAAAAAACCCTCATATAAATAAACCCATCGTTGCTTATCTGGCAAAAAACAAAAGCACGAACCCGAGATTGTGATTTTTTTGTTGTTTTTTTTTTTCTTTTTATTTATTTTTTATTTTATTTTAAGGAGAAAGATCCACCCCTGTTCCCAAACCTTGGGGAGAAGGGAGCAGTGGGCCTGTGATCCTGGGCATTTTCCAGGTTCTGGGAGGAAGGGGGCGGGAGGCAGAGAGAGAAGCAGCAGTCACTATTTTTATACATGGGTGTATTCCTCTCCTATCTTAAAGAAAAGTTTTATGGGGGGGAAAGTCTTAGGACGTGTCTCACATAAGGACACACTTGCGGAAGGAGGTGGGTTGCAGGGAGGAAGTCTGACCTCCTTCAGCTCTCACAGTGCTCTGACCTCTGACATTTCCAGGGAATCCAGTCAACAAGATTGAAGACTGGCTGCAGGATTGCGGGTAAGTGCTGGAAGGCCCTGGTAATGAATGTGGCAGATGTGTGGATACGCTTGCAGGCACTGACTCTTGGGAACTCAGAGACGGGGAAACGGGTTTGATTTGGGCCTAACGATTAGAAGTGAGGTTGAAATGGTGGGGGGTGGCAGGGGCAGATTATAAGGGTTTGGGGTGAGTGTTACCTGTAACTGGGCCTGGGCTGTAAATGAAGTTTACTCTGGGCTGAGACGAAATTAGGGTGGGGGTCTGGAAATCCAGTCTGGATGCGGTCGAAAGCCCAGAATGACGGAAATGCGCAGCTCTGGGGACTGTCTGGGCTGAGTTGCAGATCCCTATTCTTTCGCTTCTCCTTCAGACTGGAGTCTTACACTGTGTAACAAAAGAGGAGTTAGACACCTCATTGTTCTTATGATCACAGGAATTCATCACTGTGTTTATTTCTACTACAGAACACAGGATGATGGGCTAAAGGTTTAGCCCAGTTATTCAAAGCAGTGAAGAACGGGAGCAGGTACTTGAAGGCAAAATGCAGTATCTCCCTCCTCAGAAACACTAAAATAGGAGGCCCCACACCTCATCAGTAGCATTTTAGACTCAGTCTACCCAGACACAGAGGGAAAGCTTCTGTGCCCTATTTAAGCCTGATCATTTGTGTGATAATTCTGAGAATTTATAACTCCTGCCTGCTCCTTCTTTCCCCTCCAGGAATGTTCCAAACTTTATATAGCCTTTCATCTGAACTCATCCATTAACGCCATCCTTGCTTATTTGGTAGGAAATAAATAGCACTGAATGATCTAGGGCTGTTTATTTCAACTCTGCCCCAGAAGGTAATGCCAGGAAGGATTTATTCTGTGTTTTTGTGGGTTTGCAAAACATACTGCCCTTATTGTCCTGACCTGGTTCACAATTCATTGACTTCACAGTCCCTGAAGGGTCCTCAAATTTCAGGAAGGGAAGGGATGGTGGTAATAGGAACGTTTGCACATTTTGGTGTGTCACAACTGTCCTAGGATTTGGAATGCCTCACCTGGTATCTACAGGAGAACCAGTCAGCTAATGTCTTTATGTCATTAACTACTCTTGAGTCAGTATACATCACTAATTGTTGACAGCGCATTTGCTGATGTCTGATTGTCTAAATGGCTTAGAAGGGGGCCAAGGAGTTTAAAATATGCTCCTTGACTTCAAACATACTACATTCTAGCTGAAAAGAATAAATTCACAGGAATATAAGATTGTAAACTCCAGAGATTACCTTTCCCCACCTATATTCCACAGAGATAAACCCAAAACTTGTGCTGAAAAAGTGGTCTGGTGAGTCAAAAGGCTCAAAGAGTTGAACCTACCCTTGTGCTAACTATCCATGTAAGCACTTGTCAGAAAAAAACCAAAACTCCTTCTATCTCAGACTCCTTGCCAAAAGGTGGAGACTAGAATAATAATGTTTCAAAGTTTCTTGTGAGATTTAAATGAGATAACATATGCACAAGTGTTCTCTGCCCTGTAGTAAAACGTGAGCGGTGAGGTTTATAAAGGAGAGGCTTTGTGCTACTTTAAAATAGTTCTGCCTGTAGACTTAGGATCTATCTGTCTAAATCTCGTTGTTTCTCAGAAAAGTATGTCCAGAAGTGATACACACCAACTCTATGATAGTGATTATCTCTGGGAAGGAAAAAAGTAGGAAGGAATGGGAGTAAAATGAAACTTTAGTTATATTTTTAATATTATATTTATATTTTTATTAACAGAGATCAGAAATGAACATGACAAAACATTTACATGTGTGAAAACAGGGTGGCAAGTGCAAGGGTGTCTATCACATTTTCTTTCCCTTTCTATGTGTTGAAAAAATGTTAATATTTACACTTTGAAAAGCGCACAGGAAAGTCTCTTAACACACGTTTGTCTCTGCAGGGGGAGTTTAGGTTCATAAAATAGTTCCCATTTTCTCTATTTTCTAATCCTCCCTAGTATATATGTAATGCTTTTTAGTTATATGGGAAAATTAGAAATTAAAGGCTGATGATGGTTGATGGTAGCGAGAGAACAGTGGATTGTGATAATAGACGATGAAGAAGAGGGGGGAAAGGCATTCCAGATATGCCATTCTGAGTCACACAGTGTTCAGTTCTTAGGCTGTCAAGGCCACAGAGGAAGGAAGATGAACAAGGAACCTACATTCACTGGACATCTGTCCACTCTGTTGACAGGTGCCTGGGAAGCACTTTTCAAATTTTACTTCAAGACTGTATAGTTCCCATTTTCTTTCCAATGCCAAACAGACATCCTCCGGTAGCAAGACGGTTTTGTTTTCTGACAAGCTCTCCAAGAAAGCCCACCAACTTCCTGGGTGATTGAGAGTCAGTGTCTCTCAGTGTATTGAATCTAGTGGCAGACCATTCTGCTGCAGGTCAAGATCATGTATATCTTTACCTGTCCTTTTGCTTCTTCCTCTTAAGGCTCTCAGGGGAGGTTCTAGGACATGAATGTGTTGCTTGTGAATCATTGGAGGTAGGGTTAGGAGCCCCAAAATCTTCTGTGTGGACCTTAGCTTAAATCTCTGCAGGCAAAACCTATGGAAATTGCTGGAAGAACCTAAAAATAGTCACATCCTTCTCACAATCTGATCCTCCTTCCTACTTTTGTTTATGAATTGGGTATACAGGAGGAGTGGTACCTTGGCTCTTCTATTTCAGACTTGAAATGATGCTAAGGGATCTTTCAGTGGAAGACAGAGAGGGAGGAGCAGCTATAGATCTAGTCCCTAGCCATCAATTTTATGCCCTAAGCAATAACCTATGAAAGACCTGGGACTTGGGCAATGGCTATGAAGTTTTAAATCAACTTCAGTTCGATCAGTAGATCCAGGCGCATGTCCATACTTCTGTGATAGATTCCACACACACAGCCTACTGTCCCAAGGCTCATCCTGGGCTGGTCCTCAGAGAATACGTATCTGCCTGCTAGGGCACAACTAGAGAAGAGAAATGTAGGAAGAACACCCAACAAAATTTGTATCTAGTGAATGGTACTGAGTTTTGTTTGGACAAACCAGAAATTTTATCAGAGGTATTTTTTTTTTAATTTCAGGAGGAAGCTTTCTTTTATTTTTTTAAAGATTTATTTATTTGAGAGAGAGGGAGAGCATGGGCGGGGGGAGGGGCTGAGGGAGAGGGAGAATCTCAAGCAAATCCCTCGCTGAGCACAGAGCTGGAAGCGGGGCTCAATTTCACGACCCTTAGATCATGCCCTGAGCCGAAATCAAGAGTCAGATGCTTAACCGACTGAATCACCCAGGTGCCCCTATCAGTGGTATTTTTTTAATGTAAATTTTATTGAAGTATAACGTATGTATCAATAGCATTTTTCTTTTTAATACAACTGTAGTACAACTCAACAGGAGTTGAGGACTCTGAGGAGTTTCAGCTATGCTGGGTCAGTCGGTTCTAGAGATCTGTACAACATGGTACCTGTGGTTAACAGTGCAGTATTGTGCACTTCAAAATTGGTTGAGGGTAGCTCTCATGTTAAATGTTTTTACCTCAAGAAAAAAAAAAGTCAAAGGGAAGCAAGGAGATTCTGGGAGATGTTGGATATGTCTGTTACCTTAACTGGTAATGATATCATGGGTGTTTGCATATGTCCAATCTCTTAACATGGTATACGTTCAATATGTACACTTCTTTGTATGTTATGCCTCAACAAAGCTGTTAAAATAATAGCCATGTAAGTTATACTGAAAAATAAAATACTTACTGAAAAATAAACGAAGACCCATGAATTTTCTCAAAGAGAATACATACGCCCATGAAACTTGAAGCAGAACATTACCAGCATTCCAGAAGTCTCCTTCTGGAAGGTCTTCTTCCATTCACTACCCTGCTTCCAAGGGTAACCAATAACCTGACTTATAACATCATAGAAAAATTTTGCACTTTTTAAACTTGCTATAAATGGAATCATACAATATGTGCTATTGTATTTTTTAATTTTAATTTTTTATTGAAGTATACCTGACTACAATATTTTATTAGTTTCAGATGTACAACATAGTGATTCAACAATTGTATACATTATGAAATGCTCACCATGATGGGTGTAGTCACTATCTGTTACCACACCAAGTTTTTACAATCTTATTGACTAAAGTACCGATGCTGTACTTTTCATCCCCATGACTTATGTATTTTATAACTGGAAGTTAGTACCTCTTTCAATATGTAGTGTTTTATGTCTGTTTCTTTTACTCAGCACTATGTTTGTGATGTTCGTCCATGTTTTTGCATGCAGTGACAAGTCATTTTTTTTTATTGTTGTGAAGCAGTAAATTGTTTATTTATCATATAATTTATCCATTTTACAACAGAGATTTGGTGTCTCCCAGTTCTGGGTTATTATGAATATTATTTCTTTTGGTGAACAAATACAGGCATTTCCATTGAGTGCAGACAGTGGAATACTAGTGTGTTTTAGTTGTAGTTACAATAACAGTCAGCTTTGGCCCTTGCATTAATGTGTAGCTGCAGCCAAGTGTTAAATACAAGAGTAAATCTCAGTATTCTAATAGTTGACTATATAAGTTACGGTGGTTTTTTTGGAGTAACAGTAAATATAAATTGCTACTGATATTTGTAATGGTCTATAGGCTAACATTTATGCTTGTGATATTATCTTAAAATACATTTTTATGTAATTATGTTAGGAAAAGCAGCCACATTTGTAGTTCTAGTTATATTATTAGAGTTACCCATTCTTAGTTAGCTTGAATATTGTTTCACGTTTTATAATGTACCTTGATGTACAGTTTTTTTTTTTCACGAAGACATAAAAATGCAGATTTTGGAAAACATGGTTGATTTTTCACTACTGAAAGGAAAGCATCAATAGAAGATGTCTACACATGCAGTGATTTATCTTGTAAAACTTAAACACAGCTTGATCTACAGGTGTTCAATTAGTAAACCCATTGCTATTATTAAACATTTCATTGAGTGATTACATACGGAGATTACATTCAAAGCATCATGTGCAACTTCCCTTTTAAAAACTTTCAGGAAAATGAACTCTATAAAACCCATAACACATTAGTCCTTGAAGCGGACTTAGATAATGATCATAGCGAGGCATCCAAGTCCCCTGTGTAATATTTGAGAACAGAACAGCAGCCAGGAAGCAGGAATGCAAGCCAGGAGCTGTGGTTCCAGTTCACCACTTTCCATAGACTGCTTTACTCACCTTCTTTAGACACAGAATTCTTCCTTGTTTGTAAAACTGAGTTGTTTCTTGCCACCCTGTATGCTGATTTCAGTCTATTCCTCTTGTGGAGATGGTAAAAGTTTGATAAGACCCTATCTTAAAATGTAAAATTACAATCTGTAACCAAGATGCCGTTTCTGCTGCTTCCTGAGAGATATGATCATCAGCAAGAACCTGCTCAGAGAAAAGGAAGAAGGTGTGGGGAGCTAAGTTGACCTCCTAAAAGTTGAAAAATATCAGTATCTGTGATGGCCCCAAGCCCCTGCTTATATAAATGTATTTCTCTGGTTTTGTTTCTATATTCTGTCTTTCCAATTTTACCAAGCACCTGTAGACTTGTTGCTCGCCGAGCTGACTGTGGACAGTGTGGTCAGTACAATGGCAGCCCACTCTACAGTGCGTACACGTGTGCGAAAAACATGGTACGGTGCAGCACAAAATCCCGTGCTCTCCAGTCCCACTTCCCCTGGCTACTTTGGTGAACTTGTCAAGGAACTACTCTTAGTTTGCTTCAACCTAGAAGCAATTAAATACTGCTGAATCTCATTGGAAAATTGTGTGAACTTGTGGGACACATCTGAGGAAAAAGCCCGTTGGAAAATATAATTGTTTCCCACCTGTAAGATTATTTTTGGTCCTCAGATACTCTGAAGAAGGGTTTTTTGAGGAAACAGGACAGTCAAGCTACAATGGTGAGTACAGCTCTGTTCTTTCTTCTGTTGTTCTTCTACCTGGATAGTGACATGGCTCTGTGTGTGTGTGTGTGTGTGTGTGTGTTTATGTACACGCACGTGCATATGCAGGCATAAGAATGTTGACTGCCTTTTCACTGTCTGCAAAACACCTATTGGTGGTCACAAGGCAGTCCAGGAGATCCAAAAGATGGAGTAAACATTGCCTCAGAGCTGACAGGCTGACCAACGCTTAAAGACTATCTTCTGTTAGTGGTTGCTCAGCTAACAACCACTGCTATGGGAAAAGAGCTTTATAAGATGTGTGTGAGTACACACCCCCATGTGCTCACTATCTGACAGAGGATTGTGTCCACGACTATATGATATAGGGGACAGGTTAATTACAAGTGATTATGTCTTTCTAAATCAAAATATGAATGTGATTTCTGAGGTAGTACATGTAGAGCTGGGGGAAGTTCTGCAAATGTGATGTCTGACGTGATTACGTGGTTATAAATGTTCATATATACAGGGGTGTGTGTGTGTGTGTGGGTGTGTGTGTGTGTGTGAGCACAAGCCTATTCTCTGTGACCTTTGCTTTATTTGACAGGGTGCCTCAGCCATGGAACCAGCTTTGAAGATGACTTGACCCTAGGAGCAGAGGGTAAGTGGCACAGCCTTCTGACATTGGAATCAAGGAAGAGGCTAAACAGGAGATAAATTAAGGGTAGAATGAAAGGGGGAAACTGTAGAAAGAAGCAACCCATTCCCTGAGGTCTTACCTGTAGGGAAAGAGCAGTCTCGTTATGATCTAATGTAAAGCTCTTAAAGCTTTGTGTGCCCAGAAATACTTCCTCACCAGCCTGACATGACATCCACCAGTCCATCATTAGGGCTCTCATTTGTCCCCTGGAAAGACAACACATAAAATCACCATAACACTGTTTGCCCAGACATCTTTGAAACTGTTGTCTGTATAGGAAACCCAAAGCAGCCTGAACACTGGGTGTAAGCAGGAGACCACACTAAAGGAGAGAAGAGCTTGAATAAAGGATGGAGATATAGAAACCTAACAATGTCTCCTGGGTCCTGTGGAGACTCAAGCAGTGGGGCAGGAACACTAGCCTAGAGGGCTGAATGATGTTCTCTTCCTCGGGACAGAGAAACTCTTGCCTCAACACCAGTCATGGTGTATAAGTTCGGAGGCTCAGGACCACTTGCTCCCTGCCATATCTGCCCCCCCCCGGCCTGGTCTATGTTTGATGAACTTTAGATACTCCCACAAAGAACAGAGTTCATGGGGTTCAGCTAGCCTGTAGTAGTGGCAGAGGGGAGTGAAGGGGGCTAAGTGTTACATTCAGAGAGGCAGCTTAGGTGATTTTCATTTTCCCTTCTAACTTTCTCTTTGCCTTTCTGTTCCTTGTCCAGCCACACTTTTGGCCACCAATGGCAAAGTCTTCTCCAGGTAAGTGTTAGGTTCACCCAGACTGAATGATGTCTTCTTCAGGAACTACTGAACTGGTGTAGGTATCAGAGACAGATGAAAAATAAAGAGCTCAAGAGTCACAAAAGAGAGTGAGATTTTCCAACCAGGAATGAGGCCCTAGACTGAGTTTTCCCAGTAGATGATAGAAGGTACCCAGCAGGGAGTAAATATGCCCAGCAGAACATGTCTTGGATCCAGGGTGCAGACTGCTTACAAGCTTAGGGTAACATCAACTCTGATCCCTGCAGGAGTTTCCTAGACCCATCCCGGCCCTGGCAGCTCCTCGATCTTGGCTGTAGCTTGGCTTCCAGCAGCATGACTGGTGGCACCAACAAGACTAGCTCAAGGTAGGTACTGGATTTGGCAGGGGTGTAAGGGTGGGGAAGAGGAGAGGCCCAAGAGAATGGAACCAAGAACCATTGTCTATTTTTTTCTGGGATCTCTTACTGAAGGTCTTATACACTCACATACTGGAGAAGTATGATCATATTTGCTTCAAGAACACTGGGGGATGTGGAGGAATCTACTGCTCAGAGCTGGATGCTCTGTAAAATAGAGGTGACCTTGTACCCCAGCAGGTGTAGCATGGGGATCATCATAGTCCCTGGACTTACAATTAAGTGCTCAATCAACAATCAGTGAAGGTATTGATTGGTTGATTGAATGAAACAATAAAATATTAATTCACTAGGGCAATATCATATCCCCTAATGCAGGCCAGGCATTACTATGTGGAATTGAAAAAGATGAAGCAAAGTGCTTGCCCCCAGGAGCTCAGCAATCAAATACGGTGAACAAAAGGCACATGCAAATAACTTTAAAACAAGATGGAAAGTGATGAAAACTAATGTGGTATAATAGAAAGTATTTGGAATTCGGTGTCAAAGTTTGAATTTGAGACCCAGTCCTTGGATTTATTAGCCATGTAACTAACTATCTGTAGTGATTTGTCCTTACTGAGCCACAGCCCTGGCCACACCCCACTTCAATTATGTCAGAATCTCTGGAGATGAGACTCGATATCTGCATGTTTTTATTGAAATACACTTAACATACAAAGTTGTATTCATTTCAGGTGCACAACATAGTGATTCCACAATTGTATACATTATGCTGTGTTCACCACGATAAGGGTAGTCACCATCTGTCACATACAATGTTATTACAGTAGTACTGACTATATCCCCTATCTTGCACTTTTCATCCCCATGACTTATTTCTGTGGAATGGGTAGTTATTGAGCTCTCATGTCACCCAGCTTGGTGGTACACAGATTTGGATGTAGATACATGTGAGTACCATACCAAGAGAGAGACAGAGAGAACTTGATCTGTAATGCAGGGCTTCTGTCCTGAAAATAGTGCTACGAAGGGGTCTACCTTTCAAAATCAGGTTTTGAACATACCTACACTGGTTAATTTTTACCCTCAGGGTAAGAATAAAAAGAATTTTGTGTTTCTTACACACTTTCTGCCTAGATGTCCCACACAACCATGAGGTGAAGCTGGGGAGCAAGCTGCAAAGCCCTTGGCAAAAGCCAGCCAAACCATAGTGTGTGCAGGTGGGAAATGACTGGTTAATAACATAACCACAAGATTTCTTTAAATCTAGAATGCTTTTGATTCTTCAAATCCCTCTCATAGCAAATTTTCATTCCTATGTTATGATGTTTAAAGTACTGCGATAGGGGTACCTGGGTGGCTCAGTCAGTTAAATGTCTGCCCTCTGGCTCAGGTCATGATCCCGGGGTCCTGGGATCAAGCCCTGTGTCCCACTCCCTGCTCAGCAGGATGTCTGCTTCTCCCTCTACCTCTACCTCTCCCCCCGGCTCATGCTCTCACTTGCTCTCTCTCTCTCTCAAATAAATAAATAAAATCTTTAAAAAATATATAAAGTACTGTGATAGAATCTAATTCAGTTTTTTAAACCAAGGCTGGATTGTCATTCCCACGTTTCAGACAGAAAATGTAGGTTCAAAGAAGTGAAAGTTTTTCTCAAAGTCAGAATGGAAGGTAGAGAAATGATCGGAAAGATAGCTCAGTCTCCTGACACGTTTCTTAAATACTCTGGATGACCCTGTAACTCAAAGTTGCCCCTATTTACCAAACTTCCTCTTTTCAGCATCTCTGAGATTCTGGACAAGGTGCAAGAAGATGCAGAGGATGTCCTCTTCAGTCTGGGCTTTGGCCAAGAGGACCACAAGGACACTTCGCGGATTCCTGCCCGATTTTTCACCACCCCATCTCAGGCCAAAGGCATCGATTTCCAGCTTTTCCTGAAGGCCCAGGTGCAGAGGATAGAGATGGAGGACCCTTGCCTCATGCTGGCCAGTGAGTGTTCCCATGGATCTGCTCCACTTCTCTGCCATTCACGACAGGGATCAGTGGCTCCAGATCCTACTTTCTCTCAGTCAGTTTCACTCCACCCTTTGTCTCCTGTGTCTATTTCCTGGCATGTTGTTTTCAGTGAAGATGGAGAACTTTGATGTATGCTTCTCCCTCTTAAAGAACTAGTCATCAAGAGACCTCATTTCATTATTGCTTTCTTAGGCCTTCTTTCCTTCAGCAGAATCAAAAGAGAATAGTGTCTTTAAATTTTATCCCTGTTTTTATTTCTCAGTTGGAACAGTAGAATGTTCCCCATTTACAGCCACTGTATTTTTGTTTGTTTGTTTTTGTACAGCCACTGTATTAAAATCATTTCCTTTTAGGGCAATGTTCTCAAAGTTCTCAAAGTTAGATATGTTAAATTGTCCAGGGACTTTATAAAAATTCATATTCATAAGTTTTTTTTCCATAGAGGGAAAGGCTCAGGAGTATTTATTTTAAACAAGCACACTGGATTCTTATGTATAATCCTTAGACCACATCCAGGGAAACAATTATTTAAGTTGTCCTGATTTCATACTAAAGAAAGATATGAGAGGATTTCTCTAGCTAGATGAGGCATAAAAGACTCTATTTGATTCTATACATTAGAATATGTTTCAAATTATATTCTCTACACCCCCAATATGATTGTATTTCAGATTCTTTGCATCAGATTCAACTTAAGATAAGCTTGATAAACCACGCTCCTGAGCTCTACCTGTTGCAACAAAGATTTTGAGTTGGAATATTTTCACAACATTAGATGATTCTTATGCACACTAAAATTAGAGTATAATTGATTGATTTTATTTTATGTGCCATGAACATAACTAGGTGTTAAATTCTGGAAGAACAGACTAGACAAGAGGAACATGATTCTTAAGCCTTTTGGAAGCTTACAGTTTAAGAGATGTATGGCTTATCACAGTGCTTTTCAAACATGGATGTCCGTATGAATTACCAAATGGTATTGTTAAAGTGCTTGAGATACAGTCTGAGATTCTACATTTATAACAAGTTTGCAAGCAGTGCCAATGCTTCTGGACTAGTGACCACACTTTGTGAAGCAAGGTCTAATTGAATGATAAAGTCGTGGGTGCGAGCCCCACATTGGGCATAGAGTTTACTTTAAAAAAAAAATGACATAAAAATTTCTGTACCCTAATCCATTGGCTAGTAATTGCCATTTTCCCAATTTGTTGATACTCCCTTCTAGAACCCTGAAGTTTTGTTACTGTCTAAGAAAATGAGGTTGGTTTTGTCCTTTTTTCTGTCATGTTTGTCATCTAAAGCAAACAGTAATCGAAGCCATTGTTTAGAATATACTGACAGCAGAAAGGATATGTGAAACCAAGATATAGAAAAGTTTCTCATCCCATACAGAATTAATTTTTGGACTGAAGTAAAATATCTATTCGGGATGGGAGTCAAGAAGTCAAGAAAGTCAAGAAAGGGGGTCCTGGGTGTGAGAAATCTAAATGGGAGAAACACTGGTGGGGAAAATGGCATCTTCCTTCTGAATTTTGAGCCTTAGGAAGGCTATTGAAGGAAGACTTACAAGAGATAATTTGCTGATGCGCCCCAGATTCACCATCTTCAACCCTTGTGCCCAGGCAGGTTTAAGCAGGTGCAAACACTGGCGGTCACTGCTGATGCCTTCTTCTGTCTCTACTCCTATGTGTCTAAGACACCTGTCCAAAAGTTCACACCATCCCACATGTTCTGGAATTACAACCCAACTGATGTGCCATCCATCAGGATTCTGGCTCCAGAACCTGAACCTCACTCACCCAGAGAGCGCCTCCGGAAAGCCATCTCCAAGATGTGCCTGTATACAAGCCCCCGAGATCGGCTGTCACCATCCCATAATATCCCCAAAAGGAACAGTTTGGACCAAGTGGTGTGGGAAGTGATGGACAGAGTGAGAGGAGAGAAGCTGGTCTTCCAGCAAGACCCTGGATTTGGGCCAGGCTCAGAGGAAGATCCTGTGCCCCTCATCAGGGATGCAATGCTGCCCACTTCTTCTGGTCCATGTGCCCTTTACCCCAAAGAGGAAACACAGCAGGTGTTGTCCCCAATGCAAGCACCATCACAAACTCTGGATCCTAAACCAGAGGCAACCTGTTGCAGGCATTCTCTGCCCGGAGCAGATCTACAGTGGAGCACAGACCCTGCACCGGTAAAGAGAGAGCTGTGGGGTCTACAAGCCACCAATAAGGAAGTCCATTTGGCCAAGGATGAGACTTTCTGGAAAAGAAAGAGCAGAGCAAGAAAGAGCTTGTTTCAGAGGAATCCCATGAGCAGGACGGTTAAGTCATCGGAACTGTCCATCATCCAGCAGAGCCAAGAGCAACCAGCACTGCACCAATCTCTAACCCAGCAGCTGCAGGACACTTGTGACTTGGAGGAGGTGAGAGGGTTGGGGGCAAGAGAGAGGCTGGCAGAGACAGGTTCTGGATTCTTGCCTTTCAGAAAAGGGAATCCAGGCTCTCTGTCCTCACCAGATATACCAATTCTTGAATTACATTCAGAAACCTTTGGGAACAGGTTAATAGAGAAGGAGAAAGATAAATGGGCTTGATTTCTTAAGATCATCCAGGTTTTCAGAGCTTTTCTAATTCCTCATCTGATCTGATCTTCATTGAAGTTCCTCATCAAGCATACCTCGCTCTATTATTTGTGGAATCCGCAACAGAGTACAAACAGAGGTTGGTTATACACTAAGCTAAACACTATTAAATAAAATATGCTCTCTTCTACCTTAATAAATATATAACCATAAAGACGTGGAAGTCCAGGTTCAAAGTTAATATTCTCAGATTCTTAGCACTTCTGTGCTAGAACATGGCAGTGTAGGCAGAGCCACTCCCCAGCTCTGGCCTAGCGCCTTCTCTTCCCATGCCCAGATCTGTCCTAAACCATTAGGGACATTGCACATAGATGTGTGAGCACCCAGCCTGCATATCCAAAAGCCACACACCCTCTACCCACAAAAATAGCCATCTACTGGTCATCACTCATGCCTGGGGCTGCATACACTAGTAGAGAGGTTGACCCTTTAAGACAACAGACACCAGGCAAAACCAGTGCAATTCCCTGAAGCAGACTTGGAGGGCATCTGAGCAGCATATTCGGGTATCCTATGTAACCAGAGCATGTTCTAGAAGGAGTAGTGCAGGATCCAGGTGGACACGTCCTGTCGGTCCACCAACTCTTCATCCTGTGCACTCTCAAGAACTCAAGACTCCTCTTGCCTGGGACTAGTGACAATACTAGCATCAAGTGCTGAGCTCCCTTGGGAAAGCTCTCAGATCCTTGCCACAAGAGAACCTGTGATGATTTGCAATATTGTTCGCATATATGTCACCTCTCATTGGACATAGCAGCTGCACCTCAACTCCTGCCTTCCTCACTACCGCATTCCTGCCACAAGAGAAGAAGCCGAGTCTCTCAAGTACACTCAGCCTCTTTCCCCTACGGCTACCTGCCATCCAACACCTCTATGCACTGGCTCTGAGTTCTGCTGGGATCTTGGTTACAGGTGCAAAGCCACAGTGAGGAGGAAGAGAGCTGCTGGCCCAACAGTCCCAGACACCCCCACCTGTATCAGACTTTTGCTGGCAAAGACTGGAGAAGTAAGTGGGTCTCTCTCTCTCCTTTCTTTCTCTCTCCCTCCTGCCCTCCCTCAGGCAGTGAGTCTCAAACCTGGCTACATGTTATAGTTACCCAGGAAGATTTTTTTTTTAAATACCCACAACAAAGGGTCTCACATCTTGTGATTCTGATTTCATTGATATGGCATGGAAATCAGTGCCTGATTTTTTGTTGTTGTTTTTAAGCTCCTCAGATGATTCTATTATGGCTGGTTAGATACTTCTCTAGATCAGTGGTTCTCAGACTTTAGCCTCACCTGGAGGGCTTGCTAAAATGCAAATATCTGGGCCCCAAATCCCAGAGTTTCTGATTGAGAAGCTCTGGGCAGGGCCCAAGAAGCTGCATTTCTAACAAATTCCCAGGTGATGCTGATGCTGCTGGTCTGGCAACCGTCTGAGAACTGTTCTAGGGTTCTAGAAATGTATAACCTTACTATTCAAACTGTAGTCTGCAGGCCAGCAGCATTAGCATCACTTGAGATTTTGTTAGGAATGTGGAATCTCAGACCCCACCTCAGATTTAAGGTATCACAATTTTATCAAGATCCTAAGGTGATTTGTTTGCATGTTGAAGTTTGAGAAGTGCACTGCTATAGTTGTTTTAACAGATGAGAACCAACCATAAAGAGCTTCATCCCGGCTCCTGCTCATAACTACATTCTAATCCGCCAACATCACCACATGGGGAAGACTCCAGGTATCTCACAGCCATGCTCCCTTAGGCTCTGAGTTCCTTCCTGCAGTGAGGACCTGACATCCATAGCTCTCCTTCTCTGACAAGGGAACTCACATAGGTGGTTACTGCAGCTGACATGTCTTTCCTTTCGATATGAGTTTTGAGCATTAACTGTATCAGAGGTATCCCTTATACCTTTGAATGTTTTGGCTAAAGATCTGTTATTTAAACCGAGTATAAATGAGGCTCCTATAGTTTTTACCACCTATCCCCTAGTACCACAGAGAAGATGGCATCAGGAATAAATAAATAAATAAATATTATAAGATAGTAGAAATTGATATCCTTCTTGAATCAAGTCAATGAGTCTTGCTTAGAGTTCCCTCTGTTTTGAACGTCTTAAGTTTATTGCACTTCCCGGCCCAATACTTATTTTGGGTCAATACTCTAAATTTGCAGTGTTAATTATCCAGCATCACAAAATCTTTACACTTCTAGCTCTTTTAATTTTAATTCTCTGTGATTTTAGGGCCCTAGTCACTCTTCTTTCTCTCTTGCTCATTACTTTCATCTCCAGGGATATAAATTATATGTATACAGTAGTCACTCACAAAAGAGGTAAATATCAGAAGGCAGCAATATAATATATTGAATATATATATATATATATTTGTGAAAAGTTTAGGATATGGAGTCAAATGACCTACACTATACTAATTCCGTGATTTTGCAAAATTCACCTGACTTTAATTTTATCCTACATAATAGGAGATGTAGAGTTTCAACACCTTACAGGGAGTGTGTGAAGGTAATATAACATATTAGAATAATAATGGATGTTGCTGCAGCTGCTGCTGATTTTAGAAAAGGTAATCATGGGCATAAAATATTTAGATCAGTGATTCTCAATCCTACAAGATTTTTTTGAATTGCTCTTTTCTGGACTCCAATCAATAGACTTAAATACAAATCTCTAAGGTTTGGACTTGGGCATCATTGTTTCTTCTTCTCTTAAAACTTTCATATTGCTGCATAAGAAGCCACCTAAAATGCAGTGGTATAAAGAAAAAGTTGTTTCTTTTTTGTCACTATTTTGTGGGTTTCCTGGAAGGTTCTTCTGCTTGTCTCACCTGGGCTCCCTTATGCAGCTGGTTTTGGCTATTTGACTGACCTGGACTGAAAGGTCAAAAATAGACTCCCCCGCATGTCTGGAACATTGGTGATGAGCGGCAGGGGGCGCCCTCTCCGTGTGTTGTGTCATTCCTTGGCAGTCTGGCTTGTCTTATGTGGATGTTCAGCAAAAACTGAAATTGCAATGCTTCCTTTTACGGATGTGTGGCAAGTTTCATCATGTCCCCCCTACCACATTACTGGTTAAATCAAGTCACAAGGCCAACCGAGATTCAAAGGGAAGGAAAACAGACTACACTTTAACAGAGTGGCAAGGTCACAGTGCAAAAAGCCATGTTGAATGGGAGGGTTGCTGTGCCATCTTTATAAACAGTCCATCACATTGACTCCGGTGCACCATGAGGGTGAAGAATAACTGCTTTAATCAAAGGACTTTACCCTCGCATACTGAAGATGCGCTGAGGGTAAGCTTTCATGCTACAGCTCATTCAGACTCAGCCACAGCATCTGAATTTGAAAAGGAAATTAACTGGTAGGCTTATCAAATTAAAATAGAAAATGTGGAATATGCCCCTACAGTTTCTTTGCCAATAACCTAATTTATTCTAAAATGCAAAGCTTTGCTCAAGTGTTATTTGTCCAGCAGATGTCAGCCTCGCACAAGAATATGCCAAGATACCCACCAAGGCAGGCTGGGTGCAGGACCTATCAGGTTACACTTTTCCGGGCAATACCTACAATATCCAGGAAGCCAGTTCCCCTCACACATCTGCCCCACCTTTGGCCAACTGTCAGTGTACAGAAAGATTAGAACTGAATTGCCAGGGAGAAAATATTGCTAGGAACTATATATTTCAGATAAGGAACTAGATTCCATTTTCCTCCAGGGTTATGGGTTCTCAGCACAGCACAAGAGATTGTGGTTAGAAATGGATCACTACATCAAAAATTAATGATGTATTGTATGGTGACTAACATAACATAATAAAATTAAATTAAAAAAAAGAAATGCTGTATCTCACTTATTCTAGGGCGTGCATTTTTCCACATTTTAATATCTCTGAGATAGAAAGGGTCTTAACATTGGCAATGTCAGCCAAGGTCTCTAATTTTTTTCCTCCTTGGTGAAATATAAAATAATTGAGTCTTGCAAAAGATGGCTTATCAGATTCAATGAAACACAGTAACTTTAAGAAATTAAATGTACTTATTCTCTCAGGTAAATGAGGAAATGATTTCACAGATTTCCCTTCTGTGATTCCCTAGAAGACTAAGAGATCTCTTCTTCACTGACACAGTCTTTGGCTGAGATGGGGGTCAGTGGTTCCCAAATCTTTCAGATGCTCCATACATTAGTTTAATCATCTTTTCACAAAGCTATGAATTATTTCTCTCAATCTACTCCTCTATCACTCTTTAAGAGATCACAAGAAGGGGGTAATACCTATGAAAGCACCTCAGGACTACCAAGATTAAAAGTTATGTGATAGGGCACCTGGGTGGCTCAGTCATTAAGCATCTGCCTTCAGCTCAGGTCATTATCCCAGGGTCCTGGGATCGAGCCCCGCATCGGGCTCCCTGCTCCGAGGGAAGCCTGCTTCTCCCTCTCCCTCTCCCACTCCCCCTGCTTGTGTTCCCTCTCTCTCTCTACCTCTCTCTGTCAAATAAATAAATAAAACCTTTAAAAAAATTTTAAAAATAGAAGTTATGTGATAAATATGGAAGGGGGAAATTCACTCACTACCATCAAAGGCAATGCAAGCTGGGGCAGTTCCTCAGATCGACTGAGAAACAAGTCCTCTCTGCCTCCTCCAGGGTCTATAATTATCTCCCAGGGATTAACGACCTCCCGGGAGCTCTGTAGCAAGTCCCAGTCTTCACCGACGACTTGTCACCAGGCATGAGAGGGATGTGAGCATGAGTAGGAAGGGGTAACAACCCCCAACCAGCCATAGGGTCCAGTTGTGTAGTCCTCATGTTGCACAAAGACTCTCAAAGAGACAAAGGGGGTTGAAATTCAGCTCTGCTGTGCTTACCATCCAAAATCTCAAGGGTCTTCATCTTCTAAGAGGGAGTTCCTTTTTTTTTTTTTCTAACTCATCTACATAAGGTGAGTGCCTTTCTGTGGTTAACACAAGGGGACCTTCTCTTAAAAGAGGATCTTGTCCCCAGCTATCAGCTTTCTTCCCTTCCACTCTCTCATTTAGTCTCTGCAGGAGACGAAGTCTTAATCTTCCTCCCAGATCTTAGGAAAGGATGACCCTCATCATTCCTCATAGTTTGCACCATATTCAAAAATGTCAGATGCACAGCCCTTTCTCTTAGTGCCCCGTTGCTGAAATTTAAGCTGTTTGACCTTTATCAAGTTTATAAGAGGCAGGGCCAAGGTTTTATTTTTTGTTACTGTTTGTTTACTTTACCAGATCTGAGGTAGCACAGGCTAATTTATATTCTATTTGCAAAGTGATCATATCTAGAGACAGGAGTTGCATTTTCTGGGCAATTCTGCTGGTGGCAGTGGGAGGAGACAGGCAGGATTAGGCAGGGAGGCCTGTGCAGAGCATAGGATAAAGAAGGAAACTAGTCTTAGATGATCCCAAATGGCAGGTAATCCAAAGCTGTCGGTTGGTACTTAGTGGAACCTATATGAGCCAGGTAGCTACAGACTTCCTCTTTGCTGTAAGATTTTCCCATGTGACAATATTAACCACAAATGTTTCTATATAGTGCTTACTACATGTCAGGCGTAAGCCTTAGCACTTAATCATTTAATCCAATGATATAACTTTTTTATTGTTCCTCATTTTATAGATGATCACACTGGGCACTGTTATTTTTATATCAAAATAAGTTCTGAAGAGAGACTATCAGATACCAGGTGTAGGGAGAGATGGGGAAAGGGAGAGGGGAAGGCAAGAGGATATCATAAGAATGTGACGATTATTTTTCTGCCTCATTCGCAATTCTTACCAAGTTATTTTGCATCTATTGGGGAAATATCATTAAAAATAAAATCTTCTGGAGCACCTGGGTGGTTCAGTTAGTTAAGCATCTGACTTGATCTCGGCTTAGGTCTCAATCTCTGGGTCATGAGTTCAAGCCCCGCATTGGGCTCCATGCTGGGTGTGGAACCTACTTTAAAAAAAAAGTTCTAGGGGCGCCTGGGTGGCTCAGATGGTTAAGCATCTGCCTTCGGCTCAGGTCATGGTCCCGGAGTCCTGGGATCGAGTCCCACATCGGGCTCCCCGCTCTGCGGGAAGTCTGCTTCTTCCTCTGCCTCTCTCTCTCTCTCATGAATAAATAAATAAAATCTTTAAAAAAAAAAAAGTTCTAAAAACAAAATCTTCTACCACCACAGAAAACCTCTCCAGAAAGGTATAAGAAAAAGAAAACAGTTTTATTTTTTAATATGATGTGTGTCAGGGGCCATCCACTAAAGAGATTGCAGAGACAGAAAGAAATCCCTCTTCTATAAGCAGGCAGATAAAACCCCTTACATACATACAATAACTAGTCCTCAAGGAAGATGACTTGGCAGGACCATTTGTCACACACAGTCCATTCTAGATGCACCTCGGAACTGGGGTGGCCAACTATGTTAGCTAATTGCCTTTATCCAAAGGAATAATAAAACTTCTCATATCTTTATGGCAGAGGTGGTTTTGCCAGTGAGAGCCAGGCACCTAAGTTAGACTCCTACCCTCTCGTGGAGACTGAGAGATAGGGGCACGAGGGTCTTTGTTGATTACATTTCAAAGCAATGGCTTCCATAATCCTTGAGAAAGACATGACAAGGAAAATCAACAATTACTTTTATTGAATTTCATTAAATGCCACAGGGACATGGAAAAATGAACTTCCCAGAGGATAACATGTCCAGATGAATCTGGACACATGCGGAAAGGTCAAAGAGGGGAAGAATGGGGGGGGAAGTAGAAGAAGAAGCAATAGGACACTGATATACTAGAGAGAAGGATAAACATTTTCATAGGCAGAAAGAAATAGAATATCATAATATCTTCAGAAACTACACCTTGTACCCACTTGGGAGAAAGGGGATATGTGGGAGATCAAAATTAAGAATAGGAAAGATAAATAGAAATTAGATATGAAACAAAAGTCATCAATGCTATTTTAAGTGTTTTGATTTAGTCTAGAAAGATAAGGAGCCACTTAAAAATTTACAAAAGAAGTTATACGATTAGGGGTGCCTGGGTGGCTCAGTCGTTAAGCGTCTGCCTTCGGCTCAGGTCATGATCCCAGGGTCCTGGGATCGAGTCCCACATCGGGCTCCCTGCTCGGTGGAAAGCCTGCTTCTTCTCTCCCACTCCCCCTGCTTGTGTTCCTGCTCTATCTCTCTTTCTGTCAAAAAATAAATTTAAAAAAAAGAAGAAGAAGAAGTTATACAATTAGATTTATCTTTCAGAAAGATCATTCTGGCAGAAATATGGGAGATGGATAGCATAGGGAGCCAATGGAGAAAGGAAAATCATTTAAAATCCTACCACAGAATACCGAGAGGAAATGTGACAACCAGAAATAAGACAAGCATACTAGGAATGGAGGGGACGAGTGGCACTTTGAGATATTTAATATGCCCAGTGGCTAAACCAAGGATCAATAATACTTGTGTTTGGGGAGAAGGGGGAGGAAAAGAAAAAAACAGAGAAATTTCCGGGTTTCTTCTTGAGTGACTAAGTGAATATTAATATCTTTTTATTAAGAAAAAAATACAGTAGAAGTAGCAAGTTGGAAGGCAAATATTTTAAAGTATAATTTTCAAAAAGGCAAAATAATGACTCTCATGTTAATATAAGACAAACATGTTCAAAGATTTTATTCAACTCATCAATTAATAAGAATTCCAGTAATGTGTTTGAGTTGGTCCAAAGAGTATTTGAGAAGCTAGTTATAAACAGAGAACCTGAGTTAGCCACAAGACTAGTTACCAAGCAGCAACACCACAGGCTCTCATCTCTGAGATTATTGGTTACACCAGAAATAAAGTACTTGCATCTCTACTCAACATAAATTTTTGAGGTAACTTCTGCCCCAACAGAGTAGTAAAATAGCCCTGGAAAGAGAAACTCAAGAACATCCAGTAATCTTGTTTGTCTGTTTTCAAGTCTAGAATAATTTGATGAGTTAAGATTTAGATACAATGAGTTTGAGGTAGTTCTGAAATACTAAAATAGAGAAAGCAGTCCATAAGGCAACCGGATATATGAACTTGAGGATACAGTTTGTTGGAATTCAAGGCTTACTTATAATAGGTGAAGGCATGAGAAATAATAGTTCACCTAGGGAAAGTATGCAGAGTCAAAAGTGGAAGTGTAAAGGGAACCCTTAGAAATATTAATATTTAAAAATCAATCAAACACAAGATGTTTATAAAGGAGTAGCCATATGGATTGGAAAAAGAAAGTTTCAGATAGAAGCCAAGTGAGATATGTTTCAAGAAGGAAGGTGTAGTCTTCAGTAACATATGTCATAAAATATACAGAAGGAAGGAGAATGCGAAGATACCATTGGATTTGCAACTACACAATGATTAGAAACATTGATAAGAGAATTTTTATTTGTATGACAGGGCTTTAAAATATTAAGGTGAAAAGTGAATAAGAAATTGTGCAAATAAAGTAGATAAGGGAGTCAAGAGACTCTAAGGAGTGTTCTGGGTTTTATTTCAGGTTGGGGAAGATTTAAGCATATATATTTGCTGAAGGGAAAGAATCAACAGGGTGGGGGAGACCATGGTTCAGGAAGGAAAAGAGAATGATGATATGAAGTCACTGGAAAATTGGAACGAGTTAAGATCCAAACCACTTTTGAAAACTTAATTTAAAAGTAAAAACCAAGTGCTTTTGGAGGGTTTAGCCATGAGCTAGAGGTACAGATCTTTGACTGAAATTAGAGGAAAGGAAAAAGGACAAGTGTGAATACAGTTACATTGGTCACCTGAAGAAGTGAAGAAA